ATGGTTTCTTTGGTGTGATATAGTATTTTTCATGTGCACACTCTGCAAAGATGAACTAATCCTCAATGTTTCTATGAGGCAGGGAGGTGGTAGTATTCCAATTCTGTAGATGGGAATAAGTGACTTGGCCATTGCTACAGAGCAAGTCTGTGTCAGAGCCAAGATTAGAGCTCTGGAGTTCCTGGATCCCAGTCTTATGCCTAGATCAGTACACCACGCCCTTCTCTTTATGTATGTTTGGACAAAAAATATATCCAGGTGTAATGACCTTTAATTTCTGCCCATTTAAGCTGGCTGTACAGTGCAATTTGGTGGATCCTTTTTACAGAGAATAAAAGACTTAAGCTTTTGCTGCTATTAAATCCTTATTCTAGATGTGTGTTAAATTTGTCATGGCTAAAGATTTTGTCCCTGGTTCCCTCTTTGAATATCAAGTAGCATGTCTTGAAGGTGTTTATATTAAAGCCTGATACTCTTTCCCCCCCTCTCCATATTCCCCATATCCATATTACTTTAACTATTTAAAGTTGTTTTCACAAGGTAGAAAATAGATGGAGGATAATATTTAATTTAGAAATTCACATTATTACTGGACAGTGTGCTCTGATCTAAAAATAGAAGAATACAACTTTAAGCAGCTTTGAAAGACAAAAAAGCCACAAATTGGTATGCAAAAAAGAAGGTAATAATAAAATTAGGTTCAGTTATGACCACTATTTCCTTATCTCTGATCCTAACAAGTGGCTTCTTATATTGAAGTTTATTAGCCCCATTACTTACAAAACATATTGAGAAAAGGGGAGTTCACTGATTTTTATTTAATATCCTAGGGGATGAGGGAGCTCATCAGCTGTGTGCCTTTCTCCAACCCTTTAGTGATAGACTTTTGTGTTGGTATATGTGCATGGGCAGTGTGATGTAGTGGACTTGAATGTAGGACCAGCGGCTATGAAGTCCTGAGTTCCAATCCACTGATTCACTTTGAAGCCTTAGGCAAGTCATTCAATGTCTCTACTTCAGTTTCCCATCTGTCAAATGGGAATAATATCTCAGAGAGTGGTCATGAGGATTTTTTAGTATTTGTACAGAGCTTCCATGTTCTAATGTGCTATCAAGGTGCTAGGTATATTATTGTTCAAGCCCATCATTAAAGGACTAAGTTTTAATTTGTTCATCAGTTTATCTAAACTAGCGGTCCCCAAACTTTTGAGGGTTGCATCCTCCCTCCCCCAGGCTGCGGCCTGGAGCGGGGCCGTGGCTCCGGGGAGCGGGAGGGAGGAGAGGAAAGCGGACGAGGCTAAGGGGGCCGAGGCTGGGGCCACGGCTGGGGGCAGGAGCAGGGCCGCAGCCGGGCTGCAGTGGAGACCGGCGGCCGAGGCTGGGGCCACGGCTGGGGGCAGGAGCGGGGCCGCAGCCAGGCCGCAGTGGAGACCGGCAGCCGGGCCCACGGCTAGGTGCGTCTCCCGGCCTCAGCCCCGGGCTGGGAACAGAGCAGTGGCAAAGGCTGGGGGCTGGTATGGGGCCAGGAGCAGAGCTGTGCTGAGGCTGGGGACAGGGCCAGGAGTCAGGGACATGACTGGGGTTGGGACCAGAGTGGGGCTGGGTGCAGGGAGGGGCTGGGTGGCACTCCCTCCCTGACCCCTATGGGGGTTGGCCCATGCCTGCTGCACTCCCCGCCGGACATTCCTCCCCACCTCTTCTAAGGGCGTGCCTCACAGTTGAGGGACCTCTGATCTAAACTAATCTATTGTAAAGAGAAGAGAGAGAGACACACACACACACCTCACAAGAGAAAGGAGCCTTCTTGCGTCTACTCAGCAGACCCAGCTGACTGTCTTCCTTTGTGTGGATAAGCACTGCAGTTCTGTATAAAGTTTACATATTGCAGTTCCCTTGTAAGTCAGTTGCTGTATTTCTATAGGTGGAGCCAAAATTAGAGTTAGTCGGTGTGCTAGACTGAGGTAGGACAGTGTAGAACACATGCAGTACATAGTAAACTAGTGTCCAAAACAAACCACAACTAAAAAGTTAAGCTGCCAAACCAGACTAGCTTGGTTTAATAGCTGTGTGTCTTATATGAGATGCATAGAAATATGGAGACTTTAGAACACTGTCCTGTTTGCTGCTGATTTTGATATGCCTTGGCATTGAGAAAAGGCATCTCTTGTGTGTTTGGAACTAGTTGCTTGCGTAATCCATAAGGTCATGCGGAATGCAGCTACTGTATATTCATACAACACAAATGAAGCCAGATCTCCGGGTGCAGGCAGATGGTGCCAGCAGCTGAACAAGACACTTGAGAGTTGTCACTTGGGGAAAATGAAGGTGGTGATTGAAGACCTGAAAACACTTCTTTTTGAGTGAAGTTGTATTTATTTATTACAAATTTTATTCAAGGTAGTTTAATTTTAGGTGATATTGAGTATAATTGAGGGCTACTTTAATATGGTTTAATTGATATACAGTAAAAGTTGTTTTATCCAGCACTTCACCACTAGAAAGCTCCATAAAATGTCATTCCTTATCTTCATGGGTATTCCAGTTTATAGTCCAGTTGGTGCGGGGCTGGCAGGGGGTTGGGCTGTGGGAAGGGGTGCAGAGCGTGGGCTCTGGGAGGGAGTTTGGGTGCAGGACAGGGTGCGGGGCAGCGGGTTGGGGCACAGGGCAGGGTGCTGTATCTGGGGGGCACTCACCTCTGGTAGCTCCCCACAAGTGGCAACCTGTCCCAGCTGCTCCTAGGCAGAGGTGCAGCAAGCAGCTCCCCATGCTGTCCCCGCCCCGAGCACCAGCTCCACAGCTCCCAATTGCAGCCAATGGGAGCTGCGGGGGCGGTGCCTGTGGTTGGAGGCAGTGCACTGAGCTGCCTGCTGGGCCTCCGTCTCGGAGCAGCTGGGATAGGTCGCTGCTTTCAGGGAGTCACCTGAGGTGAGCACCCCCGAGATCTAGCACCCCGCATCCTCTCCCGTGCCCCAACCTGCTGCCCTGAGCCCCCTCCCACACCCAAACTTCCTCCCTCTTAGTTGATTGGAATTTTTCACCTACTGGCACCCCCCATTCCCCCAGTATGCTGGATAAAACAGCTTTTACTGTATAAAGAAAAACTTGTATGATAGAATAATGGTGCACATAAAGTAACAAGTCAGCCGTGTGATAGTCAAGCTGCCTTTCAATAGGTTAGAAGTTGTTACCTTGCTGTTTCTTTTCAGAAAGGCATTCAGATACCTTTAAAATGTTATCAAGTTAATTGATCAAATTGTTCTACTGTAGGTATATTATTCAAAAGATTAACTGTCTGGATTTTCACGTTAGTTTCCAGTATGTGTGCTGGAAGCCATGTGACCTAAACATGGGAATTCTGTAGAGGGTGTTTCCCTGGGCAAGCTCTAATAATAAAGTAATTCTTTTTCATCAATATTCAGCTCAAATGTAGACCCCGGATTTTAAATGCCAGCATTTTTTAAAGGAAGTGAATGTGACCATACATCACTTAATCATATTGTGCTGGACTCTGTGTTCCTTCAGTTCTGTGCTGACTGCAGGAGCAATGAAGAGGTGGAAGGAGGCTTTAAACTACCTTTGCAATTTCTTTCTGGCTCTGGCAGGGGTCCCTTTAGCCCAGTGGTTCTCAAACTTTTTGTACCGGTGGCCATTTCCACACAGCAAGCCTCTGAGTGAGACCCCCTTATAAATTAAGAAAGCAGGAATTTAATTTAATGTAACAGGCACTTGTGGCTGACAGCCACTGCACCTGGCCGGGCTCATGACTCTCCCCCCAGTTTGAGAACCCCTGTTTTAGCCCTTGTGTAACTTGGAGGAGCTGGCATGTAATGGCCCCCTACCTAGACCACTAGGTTGGCAAAAGAATAGATTTGTTTTCTGATATATTGAGCTTAAACATTAGTACCTTTTCAACTTTGTCCCTTTTCTCCTTACAGTATAAGTGGTGTCTAAAATAGTGAATCATATAAAGACCCCCTTTTTTGAGTCTGTTGCTCTGCAAGCACTAAGGGTTTTGGCATGACAGCTCAGCTCTTACCCTATGTGTTCAAAGGGTAGTGTCGCTTGTGAGTCCAGAGCTGTTCTCAGGTACAATTGCACATAAGTGACCTTATTATTTTTGCTCTTGTGTTTTTTGAGGGTTTCATATACCTAGAAAGCCTGAAAGAGGCCTTGGTGGTAAATTTTCAGTTTGAGTTCATATGATTTCAAGCTGCCTTTTCGAATTAGGGTGAGAAATGAAAGAATTCTCTTTATAGGTTAGATACCTACTAAAAGCACTACATGCACTTTTCCCACCAATCTGAGTGAGTTTACTAGGTAATTGAAATATTGAAGCTTCTCCCTCTAGCTCAAAGATGGTTTGAGTCAATCTTTGTCACGAAACGGAGTAAAATACAAAAAAATAAAAACCTGTCTTCATGTCCTTTAGCTGAAAGTGGTAGACTCAAACAATTTTTACTAAATAGGACTGGCATTGATTGAAAACCATATGGAATGGACTAAGGATTGCTGGGCCCATATTTTGGAACTAGCTAATCTTTATAAGACAGAGCTATTCATTAGAAACATTTATTTGGGTGAAAAGATTTCATTAACTTATTTGAAACTGTACAGTATACATCTAGAAATCCTGTAGGACAATGACTTTAAATTCTATTTCACTGGCTTTTTTCATGGCAGAAAATAACTTTTTTTTAATGTATTCTAATAAGCATTTGACACTATTTTTGAAGCTAGGTTAACCCATGTTGATTCAGATGGCTTACTTTCTATTTATGCCATCTGTATTTTGCTTTTTAAAATTGTTGGGACTCTCTTACTGTACAAACCCTTGCAATGCTCTTCTGTGCTGTTGTGATCGCTTGCTGGAAATCTAGCAGTAATTTGCGTTAACAGTTGGTTTTCTGCATTCACCTCGGTAACTACATACTTGTAAGAACCTATGAAAAAATGAATATGTGCCAGTTAAGCAGCACTAACATCTTTTTCTTGGTTTTTAGTTCAGAGGAGCTTCCTTTTCATGATGCAGCAATAGAAAGGGTAAGTCCTATGCTCACGTCTCTTAAAACTGTAAGTAAGCGTCAACACTTGACAGTGTGTCCTTTATAATATGTATAAGTTTTTTATAACTGGGGGCTATAGTGTCATACTATGGACTTTCATATTGAAAGAAACACATTTCTCACATCTGCTAGAGGATGGCAATCTCCTCTTAAAAATCACACTTTTGGTTGAACTGCATTTCTGTTCATATATGACTTAATGCCATTAAGTCCTTCTGGAACTGTTAACACCTCTCTTGGGTTAACCACAAAAGGTCACTGCATTTTTTTGTACATTGCTGCCTTCACATACATCCCAGGCTCTGCTGGCCTGGATGAATTATGGACAAACATAAGTCCCTAATGTGGCTGCATGTTGAGCTGCTGCTTAATAAGAAGGCAATTCTGTTAATGAAATATTTCAAGTTACGCTTGGCTCTTGCCCTAGTTCAGTTCCCTTTGGTTAATTGATACCCTTTACTATTGTCTTTTCAAGTTAATGTCTCTGTGCTGCTCAGATCAGCTCCTCCTAGTGCATGGAGGTGGGGGTGAGTGTGTGTTTTGAACAAATGCAATTCTCATAGCCTTTAAAAGCTGTCTCTTTGGAAAATTGCAATATGCTGAGCTACCAAGAGAAGCTGATGGGGATCAGTATAGGGCAGTGTGTGTGTGAGAGAGTAAGAGAAAGGAGTGCTGCTTATGAGACGAGAAGAAAAATCCCCGAGTCCCTGTCTGTTTTGCATTGCTAGGTGGTTCTTGGTTCATGACAGCGTGTTTCTGCAACCTGAAACTGCATTGTTTTCCATGACAGCGTGTTTCATTGCATTTATAGCATAATGAGCATATATTGTTAACTTCATTTTAATCAGAAGGACACAGCTGTGTGTGAGGCTATGAATGTTCATGGTCTCAAATATTAGACAACTTAACAATTATTTTTCATTGTCATATATGATACTTGAAGCTCTGATTCACTTAACTAAGCATGAGATATATAGTATCCTTAAGCTATGCTATGAAAATAGTGTCTAATTCTCATATCCCATGTTTTAATAATACTGTCCCAGACAGAGTGTTTGCATAGGAACTATATTAATTGTACACTTTCCAATGTTAAGTTGCAAATGTAGTTACTTTTTATAATTACATTGTATTCTAGTTATACTTTTGGTGATATCCTGACCTCTGCTGGCCTGAGGCTGCGGTTTGCATTACTCCAGTCAGTGACGCTTAGTTCTCTGAAATGTCTGTTACCACAGTAGTTGATAGGGCAATTAGCATGTAAGTTCATTGTCGGCTAATAATAAAGAAAAGATGGAGGGTTTTTTAATTAACTTATCTGGCAGTGGGGACCTGCCCAGGCTTTTTCCTGTATCATTTCTGAACTTGTGTGATGCCCAGAAGCAAATATTGGTGGTGTTTTGACCAGTTTGTAGTTTACATAAGGAGTCTTTTACTTCTTTCCCGTTAAATTTGAAACTCTTTCCCCTTTGGTCACAACCTGTCCTTCATACATGTTCCACTGTACAGCCTAAATTGCTTTTCTTTGTGTAACATGGATGGGGTTCGTGTGACTGCTCAATAACTACTTTTGATACTTCATTGCATAGGTCATGTGAATGCTTAAATGCCAGAAACCATTGAAGTATGTTATAAACCAATTCACCTTCAAATTTATGCAATGTTTTAAAATGTAAAATTAGGAGAGGCACCATGGTCCAGTGGATGGAATACTGAACTGAAGACCTGGGTTCTATAACTGGCTCTGTCTCTGATGTCCAAATCACTTCATCTCTCTGTGTCTAACCCTAACTCTTTTCAGAGTAACAGCCGTGTTAGTCTGTATTCGCAAAAAGAAAAGGAGTACTTGTGGCACCTTAGAGACTAACCAATTTATTTGAGCATGAGCTTTCGTGAGCTACAGCTCACTTCATCGGATGCATACTGTGGAAACTGCAGAAGACGTTATATACACACAGAGACCATGAAACAATACCTCCTCCCACCCCACTGTCCTGCTGGTAATAGCTTATCTAAAGTGATCATCAGGTTGGGCCATTTCCAGCACAAATCCAGGTTCTCTCACGCTCCGGCCCCCCCACACACAAACTCACTCTCCTGCTGGCAATAGCCCATCCAAAGTGACCACTTTCTTCACAATGTGTATGATAATCAAGGTGGGCCATTTCCTGCACAAATCCAGGTTCTCTCACTCCCTCACCCCCCTCCAAAAACCACACACACAAACTCACTCTCCTGCTGGTAACAGCAGGAGAGTGAGTTTGTGTGTGTATGGGGGTGGGGGGGGGGGTGAGAGAACCTGGATTTGTGCTGGAAATGGCCCACCTTGATTATCATGCACATTGTAGAGAGAGTGGTCACTTTGGATGGGCTATTACCAGCAGGAGAGTGAGTTTGTGTGTGTGGGGGGGGGGTGGAGGGTGAGAAAACCTGGATTTGTGCTGGAAATGGCCCAACTTGATGATCACTTTAGATAAGCTATTACCAGCAGGACAGTGGGGTGGGAGGAGGTATTGTTTCATGGTCTCTGTGTGTATATAACGTCTTCTGCAGTTTCCACAGTATGCATCCGATGAAGTGAGCTGTAGCTCACGAAAGCTCATGCTCAAATAAATTGGTTAGTCTCTAAGGTGCCACAAGTACTCCTTTTCTTTTAACCCTAACTCTGTGTCAGTTTTTCCTTGCTCTGTCTTGTTTGTTTAGACTGTAAACTCTTCCGATTTTAATAGTTCTTACTATGTGTTTGTACAGCACCTTGCATGATGAAGTCCTGACCTTGGTTGGGGTCTCTACCAAGGCACTACCCTAGGCTCTCTACTCTAGGTGCTATTGCAATATTAATAATAAATAAGAGAGTGTCATAAAATGGATATTTGCCAGTTAAGATTCATCCCTTTCCAATAGCCCATTATTTATTTTACTTGGAATAAGATTCCCTCCCAATTTCAGTTTGACTCTAGTATTCCCAGAGGCAAAAATACTTCCAAGTTTGACTATGTCTACACTAGCACTTTTGTTGGTAAAACTTTTCAGTCATGGGTATGAAAAAAACACACCCCGACCAACATAAGTTACACTGATAGAAGCACCGGTGTGGACAGCGCAGTGTTGGTGCAAGATGCTATCCTACCGACATAGCTACCCCTGCTCGTTAGAGGTGGGAGAGCAGCGACACAGGAGACCTTACAGAAGTCCAGCTGCAGCGGTGTCTAGTGTAGACGTAGCCTTTAAAACCTACTGCAGAAGACAGAACAATGGTTTTCTTCAGAGACTACTACATGGACTGTAGATTTCCTGATAAAGCAGTAGTGTCCGTCTTCTCTGCAATGTGCTTCTTGAGATGTAGCCATGTATTCCAAGCAACTCTTGTTGGATGTGAAAATGCGCATTGCTTAGGTTAAAAAAAACAACAACCCACAACTGTCCAAAACACAAACTGAGAAGGCTTTAAGAACCAGCATAGACTGACCCAGGAGACAAGAAGCCTGAATTAACCTAAAACTGAAAAGAGTTCAGCATTAGAGGCTCAGGGAGAAGATGGGATTTTATTTTTCTGACAAACTAACTGAATAACTTGCCCAGAGCAGAGACCTGGCTTGCTTTACTGGAGACTTGTATGCAATTTGCCCCCTTTCCCTCCCAGCCTAAATTACATCCAGAGAAATAATTTGGAAAACTTCTGCTACAGGGTTATTATAAGGGATCACTGTATTTTCTCAGCCTCACTGTGAAAACAAAAGAGTGCAATGATCTAGACCTAAGATATGTGGGAGTCAGCAGTTTTTCTACAGTTCCTTTTTAAGCTAAATGTTACAAGATAGAAAATAAGAATATTTTTAAAAGCTGAAGATGCCAGTGTCTATCTGCAAAATCTCATAAAGGTGCCTCAACAGCATGAAACTCCACAAGAACCTCAGGGCAATGAAATGCAATGTGAAAAGTCAGATAAGTAAGACTGGCAAAGTAGCAATATCTGACTCGACCCTGTTAGTTTAATACCTGATGGTATTAAACCACCCAAGAAAATGGATATAATGTTGTTGTTTCATTATAAGGTCATCCATGTATTTACTATGACCATATTTTTCATTTCCACTTTATTGTGGAAAACGCTCTATGGACACCTTTAACTTCCTAATACTTTCTTTTAGGTTTTCAGACCTGTAGTTATATCCATCTGCTTTATTTCTGCATAAATTCTGCTGATCAGAACTTAACTATTACCTTAGTTCTAAAGTGTAAATCCACATGGGGTCAATTTATGATATGGGGTCATTTATGAAATTACAGATCAGCATATTTAAAAATGAAATTTTTCTTGTGCATCCACATTCAGATTTTTCTAAAGCTATCTCATGAGTGTTTCCTTCCTTTTTTAATACCCAACATTATGAACTAACAATAGCTTGCCATATTATTTATAGGTGAGTCAGAGAAAATTATGCACATTGTGTTTCTACTCTATTATAATGGCCTGAAATGCTATAAAATCACGATTATGGTTTCTGACTGGCAGGAGCTTATTTCTGGTGTGTTTCTATTTAACACAGTACAATGCTATCATCAGCCTACACATGGCATTTGGCTGTTCCACACATCTTCTGGGGCAATTATCAATATAGTGTAACTTTTTTTTCTAGCAAAACCCTGTGTGACAGTACAGAAGTTTTGTGTGTGTATGTGTAAATTAAGCTTTTGTGTGCAGTTGTGTACACAGCTTTTAAAAGCATTTCTGAAATAGTTGGCCTTTATCTTATTACACAAAACAGTAGGAGTATACATGGTTTAATTACAATAAGATATCTAATACAAGTGGATTGTCCTTGCCTCTAGACTTAGGCTAGATGGATGAAGAGAACAATAACTGTTAAAAACAAGTTGTTTTCCAGTTCACTTCATGAATTTTATCATGGAATTTAATTTAAAGATGGAAAATAACTGTAAGGACACTTATCGCTGTGTGTGAAGACAAGCCCTACAGTGGCGCAGCTGCACTGCTGTAGTGCTGTGTGTGAAGAAGCTACTATGTTGATGGGAGAACTTCTCCCGTCGTCATAGTTAATCCACCTCCCCGAGAGACGGTGAGAGAAGCTGTCCCACCCCCATGGTGCTGTCTACACAGGGGTTAGGTCAGCATAACTACGTTGCTAAGGTGTTTGGATTTTTCACACCCATGAGTGATGTGATTATACCGGTATAGGTCTGTAGTTTAGGCCTGGCCTCAGCCCTATTTCTGCTAGTTCAGGCTTGGACCAACTTTTGTTGGTGAGAGACACAAGCTTTCGAGCTACACAAGCTTTCTTCCGGTCTGAGAAACTAGTTCAGGCTATGTCTACATTAGCACTTCAGTAGGTAAAACTGATGTTGCTCAGGGGCTTGAAAAAAAAAATACCCTTGAGCGACATAAGTTACACCGACAGAAGTGCCAGTGTGTAACTGCCAGCTGACATAGCTCCTGCCATTCATTGGGCATGGTTTAATTATGCCGATAGGAGAGCTCTCTCCTGTCACCCTAGACATCAGTACAGCTGTGGCACTGTATGGGCTCTAGAGTAGACATAGCCTCAGTGTGTCACTGCTATAAACAAGGTGGAACAGATTGTTTAGCAGAAGTGGCTAACATACATTTCGAGGGACCATTCAAGCTTAAGTGGCTCATTAACACCCCTCCAGTCATAGGGAAGAAAGGAATGGAGGGGGGAAAAAGCAGCTGGGGTGGGGTTTGGTAGTGGGTTACAGATTGTTGTAATAATCCATAATCCAGTGTGTCTATTCAGACCATGATTTTTAGTGTCTAGCAAAGCCTGGGAGCTTAAATTCATAACTTCACCTTGAATGGTCCCTTGAAATGTGTGTTAACTACTTATGCTAAACAATCTGTTTCACCTTGTATTTAGCAGTTACACTGAGTTAGGCTATATCTACACCACACTTTTGTTGGTAAAACTTTTGTTGGTCAGGTCGTTCCTGACTGAAAAAAGTTTTACCGACGAAAAGCGCCAGTGTGGACAGCACTTTGTTGGTGGGAGACTTTGTTGTCCTGCTGACAAAGCCAGTGCTGCTTGTTGGGGGTGGGGTTTTTTTTTGCCAGCAGAAGAGCTCTCTCCTGTTGGCAAAGAGCGGCTACACAGGACACACTACAGCAGCACAGATGTGCCGCTGCAAGGTATGTAGTGTAGATACGGGAGAGGAGTTAGATTAGATTTTTTTAAAAAATTCCTTCTCCTGCTCATTTAAATAGAATATATGGCTATGGGTACCCGCATGGCCCCACAGTATGCCAACATTTTTGTGGCTGACTTAGAACAATGCTTTCTCAGCTCTCGTCCCCTAATGCCCCTACTCGCGCTACATTGATGACATCTTCATCATCTGGACCCATGGAAAAGAAGCCCTTGAGGAATTTCACCATGATTTCAACAATTTCCATCCCACCATCAACCTCAGCCTGGACCAGTCCACACAGGAGATCCACTTCCTGGACACTACGGTGCTAATAAGCAATGGTCACATAAACACCACCCTATACTGGAAACCTGCTGACCGCTATGCCTACCTACATGCCTCCAACTTTCATCCAGACCAAACCATACGATCCATTGTCTACAGCCAAGCTCTACAATACAACCACATTTGCTCCAACCCCTCAGACAGAGACAAACACCTACAAGATCTCTATCAAGCCTTCTTACAACTATAATACCCACCTAGTGAAGTGAAGAACCAGATTGACAGAGCCAGAAGAGTACCCAGAAGTTACCTACTACAGGACAGGCCCAACAAAGAAAATAACAGAATGCCACTAGCCATCACCTTCAGCCCCCAACTAAAACCTCTCCAGCACATCAAGGATCTACAACCTATCCTGAAGAACGCCCCATCACTCTCACAGATCTTGGGAGACAGGCCAGTCCTTGCTTGCAGACAGCTCCCCAACCTAAAGCAAATACTCACCAGCAACCACACAACAAAACCACTAACCCAGGAACCTATCCTTGCAACAAAGCCCGTTGCCAACTGTGCCACATATCTATTCAGGGGACACCATCACAGGGCCTAATCACATCAGCCACACTATCAGAGGCTCGTTCACCTGCACATCTACCAATGTGATATATGCCATCATGTGCCAGCAATGCCCCTCTGCCATGTACATTGGTCAAACTGGACAGTCTCAACGTAAAAGAATAAATGGACACAAATCAGACATCAAGAATTATAACATTCAAAAACCAGTCGGAGAACACTTCAGTCTCTTTGGTCACTTGATTACAGACCTAAAAGTGGCAATTCTTCAACAAAAAAACTTCAAAACCAGACTCCAATGAGAGACTGCTGAATTGGAATTAATTTGCAAACTGGATACAATTAACTTAGGCTTGAATAAAGACTGGGAGTGGATGTGTCATTACACAAAGTAAAACTATTTCCCCATGTTTCTTCCCCCCCCCCCCCCCCCCCGACGTTCTTGCTAACTGCTGGAAATGGCCCACCTTAATTATCACTACAAAAGGTTCACACATCCCCTCCCCCGCTCTCTTGCTGGTAATAGCTCACCTTACCTGATCACTCTGGTTACAGTGTGTATGGTAACACCCATTGTTTCATGTTCTCTGTGTATATAAATCTCCCCACTGTATTTTCCACTGCATGCATGCGATGAAGTAAGGTGTAGCTCACGATAGCTTATGCTCAAATAAACTTGTTAGTCTCTAAGGTGTTACAAATCCTCCTGTTCTTTTTGCGGATACAGACTAACACGGCTGCTACTCTGAAACCTTTGTTTTCTGTGTTGTAATTGAAATGAATATATTTGAAAATGTAGAAAAATATCCAAAAAATATTTATAAAAAATCTCAATTGGTATTCTATTATTGTGTAATAGTACAATTAAAACAGCAATTAATTGTGCTTAATTTTTTTAATCGAGTTAATTTATTTTGAGTTAATTGCTTGAGTTAATGGTGATTAATTGACAGCCCTTATATAAATAAATAAATAAAAGCACATCCAGGCTGACAGCTCGTATGCAAAGAAATGGCTTTTTCCAAGGGAGACTAATTTAGCAAAGGTGATGCCACTGGTGCCACTATAATTCTTGACGTTAAATGCTCCTGCAGAGGAAAATATCTTGGTTAAACTTGTTTCTAAAACTCTTAGAAGACTCTAAAGTAGATATTTTGGAAAAAACTAGGTCTGAAATTATTAATTGTCATTTTATTTCAGCAAAAGCACCTTGAAATTGAAAGAACTACAAAATGGCTAAAAATGCTGAAAAGCTGGGAAAAATACAAGAACAGCGAAAAGGTAAGTTATTCATGTTTTTGGTCAGTTTCCTCTATTGAATGTAGCAGTATAGTGATAATTCATACCTCATTTCAGAAAAATACATTTAAAAATAAAAATGAAAAGCTGTTTTTATGATTGCATGGTGCAACAATGTAATAAATTAACGAAGAAACTGGTGTTCAAATACAGGAGTTTTGAAGGACAGCATTTTGGGGGGCCACATGGCATATTCAGAACTGCCATTGCATGTAAATTCTTGTATTGCATTATAATTGTGGAGTGGAATTGGGACATGCACGGCCAGGGAGTACACACTGTTAGCATGCATGCTGCATAATATCTGTGGTAGAAGGGGAACTGTACATCACAAGACAAGCAGGTAAATAGAGAGTAAACTACTAGTCTTCAGGAGGAATAGTCAGCACACAATTTATATTTGAAAATAGTTTAAAAACAGAAACAAAAGCTTTTATAAAGTTAAGCAGAGAGAGGCCCAATCCAAAAGTCCAGATCAGAACATGAGAACTCTGGAAAAATTTGGATCTGAATCTTAAATTTATTATTTGACTTTGTGCCCGTTTGTATGCTGAACATTATTGTAGTGTTTAATGCTGAAATTTTTAATCAAACTGATATGCAGGTGGTGTATACTCATCAGGGAATCTGCTGGCTCTTCATTTTGAATCCTTTTAAAATTCTTTGTGTGATATTAAGCAGGTAGCTATGTAGAGAAACAGCCTCCTTTTGCAGCCACAGGTTTGGTGGATGGGCAAAGAGAGCCTCTGCTACTTGTATACTGAATGTTGTCTTGGGTTCCTGCCAGGGAGTTTGACCAGTCATAAATTGTGATATCTAACTACATGTTGAACAAACCAGACACCATGAGGATGCTTTAAAGTAGCTTTAAAGGATGCTTTAAAGATTCTCTTGGAAGTGGTTTCCTAGAGTAAGCTTTAACATACAGAACAAATAATTAAAACCTAAACCTTAAGTACAACTTATTTAGTTACATTTTCCTTGTGTTGATTTCATGTGACTAAGCAAAAAATGCAAAGTGCCCTTCATACAGGTGGATCCTCTCTGTGGTGGAAATGATCTCTCTCTTAGGAGGGTGATGCTTACATGTTGGTGCACTGGTTTTACTGAATTTGACAGGGGGTCATCCCTGAAATACTGCCAGTAGCTATTTAAAAGTGCACATTAATGCCACACAACAGGTCAGGACAAAAGGTGAAGAAAAATCTTGTTCAACTGAAATTACAGGGAAATTTTAAGTAGGTATAATTAGCCATTTGGTATTTAACTCAGGATTCAGCCAGAGGTTAACATCACTAACTGTCTTGAAAATGGCTGTGGGATTTTTAATGACCACAAGAGAGTTTTTTGACAACAAATGAAAATAGACTACATCTACATGTGTAATAGCTGTACTTCTGTGTGTAATGGCTTCCTCATGTGGAGAGACAGTTGTGTAATGCTAGGGTACTAGACTGAGAGTCAGGAAACCTGGACTTTTTTCTAGCTCTGTCTTGGGCAGTTCACTTAGGGTTAGGTGTTGTCCATGTCTTGCACAGCCAAATAGGGGAATTAGGCCCTGTAGCCTCCATGAGGCCGTGTAAGATCTACTTGGATCTTTGTTCTCTGTCTCCTGCAGCGCACAGCCCTTGCATTCTCATCCTCCTTTACTGTGAGTGAATTGGTGAGGAGGGGCTAGAAAAAGGCCAGAAGTGGGTGAGAAGCCCAGCTGTGTCCCTCCAGGCAATAGCAAGCTGAATAGGGCTGGTGTTGCTGGGGAGAAGCAACCTACACGTTTCCCTTGCTACAGCAAGTTACAACCTGCTGGAGAAAGGGGGAATGAAGGAAGGAAGGAATTGTTACTCTCTGAATCAGAGTTTCTTCCTGAAGCTGGAGCGGTGAACGTACTCTACCCTTTCTAGGGTTACATACTTCAAGGGTTTCCCGGACGTAGCCTCCTTTTTGAATTTCCTTTCTCTGTCCAGGCAGATTTTTCAAATAACAGTCAATGTCCCAGCTTTTTGCAGCGCAGACAAACTGCAGCTCAGAAAAAGCCCCGATTGGTCCCTCCCCTGCATCTCTACCTGATTGGTCCATTCTCCTGCAAGCCACAACTGCTGGATCCCACCCAGCCAGGCCCCAACTCTGGGGAGGGAGTCCCGCAGGGAGGCACTGACTGGCGGCTGTTGCTGCATCCTGGGCTTACACCAGTCGCCCTGCCACTGTGATGGAGCAACACTGTTCCCACCTCCAGTGAGTATCCCTGCTGCAGGTATCCCCAGCTGTACCCCTCTCCAGCTCCTCCCCCCTTCTGGCTGTGTCCTCTTCTTGGGAAACTAAAATATGGTAACCCTAAAGTGGGCTGAGAGTGAACTCTCGTAATATATCTCTACACAGCAGTTGGGAGGGCACTTCACAGCATGGGTGGACAGACACTTGCTACCTCTGCTTGAGCTAGTGTGCTAAACATTGCAGTGTGGCCACAGCAGCAAGGATGGCGGGTCAGGCTAGCCACCTGAGTGTGTACCCAGGGGGTTGGGTGCAGGATTGTACTCAGGTGTCTAGCCTGAGCTGCTGCTTGTGCTGGTGTGGCCACACTACTATTTTTAGAATACTAACTCAAGCAGAGCTAGCAAGTGTCTGTCTACCTGCTCTGAGAAGCACCCTCCCAGCTGCTGCATAGACATATCTAGCTCTTCATTTTTCCTAGTACCACTTCCCATCTGTAAGATGGGCATAATGATGTTTACACAGTTAAGTGCTAAGTAATGTGTGCTTGCTGTCCTATCGCCCTCTTTGGAAGGAGATGGAAGAGGTACTGGTTACCTGCGATAGACTTCTGCCCTCCCTTCCTGCAAATGTCTTTTAAAAATACCCATAAATATTTCTGTAAAGGGCAACACACAAATTGCCCATTATGGCAGGTTTTACAAAACTGTTTATTTTGATACATAGTTTAAAAGTACTAGACTGTAACTATAGCAACAGTAGCTTTAAGTGATATAGGGGCCAGTTGTGTGAGAGAGATGGTGTCTTCTGTAAGAAACACCTTTGCCGGTTCAGACTGGGAATCTTAGGCCATGGCTTCACTTGCGAGTTGGAGCACATTAAAGCAGCTTCGGGCACCCTAACTCACGACATGTCCACACTGACAAGGCACATAGAGCGCCCGGACTCCGCGGCTGGAGTGCTTCTGGTACTCCACCTCTACAAGAAGCATAATGCTTGATGCGCCCCAACTGGAGCGCCGTGGCGTCAGTGTGGACGCCCTGGTCAATTAATGCGCTCTGATCGGCCTCCAGAAGCGTCCCACAATGCCTGTTCTAGCCACTCTGGTCATCACTTTGAACTCAACTGTCCTGCCCTCAGGTGACCAACCGTCGGACCCACCCTTTAAATTATCTGGGAATTTTGAAAATCCCCTTCCTGTTTGCTCAGGAAGGCATGGGGTGCTCTCAGCGAATCTTTCCAGGTGACCATGCCTCCATGTGCCAGGTGATCACCAGTATGGAGCAGTGGTGAGGTGCTGGACCTCATCAGTGTTTCGGGGGAGGAAGCTGTCCAGTCCCAGCTGCGCTCCAACCGTAGGAATTACGATACCTTTGGGCAGATATCAAGGGACATGATGGAAAGGGGCCATAACTGGGACACACTGCAGAGCAGAGTTAAAGTGAAGGAGCTGTGGAATGCCTACCGCAAAGCCCGCAAGGCAAAGTGCCGCTCCAGTCCTCCGCTCCTGCGACCTGCTGTTTCTACAAAGAGCTGGATGCAGTACGTGGGGGCAACCCCACCTCCACTCCGAGTACCACCATGGACACTTCAGAGCCCAGTTCAACAAGGGAGGAGGAGGAGGAAGGCGGGAGCGAGGGTGCTGAGGAGGCGGGAGACGGCCCGGCATCCCTAAATGCATGCAGCCAGGAGCTGCTCTCAAGCCAGGAGGAAGGTAGCCAGTCGCAGCAGACAGTGCTTGGGGAAGGACAAACACCAGGGGAGGTGCCCGGTAAGCGGCTTTTATTTTGGGAAGGAAGTTGTTTGGTGCAGGCTCTTGGGGCGAGGAGGGTTAGGGCTGCATGCATGCCTAGATGCGGAATAGGGCGTTGATGTGCTCTCACATTGCGGTAATTGGCCTCAGTGATCTCTTCAAAGGTCTCATGCAGGAGCTGGGCAATGCGCTTGCGCAGGTTCCTTGGCAGAACTACTCTGCTCCTTGTCCCAGTCAGGCTAACATGTCCGTGCCACTGTTCCGTGAGGGACAAGGGGACCATTTCTGCATACAGGCAAACTGCATATGGGCCAGGGCAGAAGCTGCATTGTAGTAGAAGACCCTCCCTTGCTTCCCAGGTCACCCTCAGCAGCGAGATATCTTCCAGAATGAACTCTTGTGGAAAATGTGGGGACAGTGTTCAGTACAGGGGCCCCCTACAGCTGTTAGCTCTCCCCAAGGCACAGAATCCTAGAGGACAGTATGTCCGTGAAACAACCAGTCCCCCTTGCCCCTGTGCTTACGTACCATTTTGGGGGTCCTATGGGTTATGTGCACTCATTTTGGGATGGGCAATTCTGCTATTGTGTAGACTGTGCTTGTCTTTAGGTACGGGGGAATCATTGCTCTGTCTGGTGTGAACAATGCTGCCTTTGTTAAGTGTTGCATTTTGGCTTTACAGATTTTTTCAACCTTGAGATCTCAGCCATCCTGGTTATCATCGGCCAAAAGACTGCAAAGAATTAGGAAGCAGCCACGTAGAGGCAAAGAGGACCTGCTGCATGAAGTGATGCAGCTTTTTAATGAAAATCAAAAGGCGCAGGAGTGGCGGGAGAGCGAAAGGAGGGTCCGCCAGCAGAATGCGGATCGCCGGCACCAAAGCACGGAGCGGTTGCTAAGCATTGTGGAGCGCCAAGCGGACTCAATACAGGCGCTCCTAGCAATGCAGGCGGAGCACTACCACGCCCACCCACCCTGCAGCCCTTGTCCCAGAACTCCTTCCCCTGTGCCCCCATGTCGC